CCCACAACCCAAACCCAATCACACCGTCCTCACTCGGGTCTTTACTCCATCATACATGTCCTAAATCAACCTAACATAGGCAACAAGTACACGATTAAAATTATAAAACCGAGAGAGTATAAACCTCGGGAAATGTAGGTACATAATCTTTTCAATAGTTAAAGCCCCAGTACCCTTAATAACTACCACGGTCTCTCCTAATTGGTTTCTCCAACTATTAATTTGTGCCACAAAGTCTAGTTAATGTTAAGTTTAATGGAATGAGTACTATCCAACTCAATAACTAACCTTCTGATAATTTGTTTTTTCCAAAGACTGCAGGACCTGTTTGTTATTATTTACTATTATTTATTGCTTCTTGACCATCCTTACTATTTGGCGAGTCTAATTGTTTCTTAGATATTGCTTCTTGACCATCCTTACTAGTTGGGGAGTCTAACATTTTCTCTAACCAAGACTTGATAAAATTACTTTTCTTGGTCATTATATTCTAAGCATTGTTTTGGAAGTATTTTTTATGTAATTTCTTAAGTCTATAATTTTGTTTCCAAAAAATAAATCAAATACCAAAAGGAAAGAAAAAAGAAAAAAAGGATGTATGACTTATCTAATGGAATTGGAGCTATAAAAAGATAAAGCTTCCTGATACTTTAGTGCTCTTGCAGGACTACAATTACATTCTGTTTGATCGAGTTTTGCCATTTATAGTTCCTGTTCAATGTCTTTTTTTCTTGCAAATGTGAAACCCAGTTTTCATCTTCAGTTTTATTGAAGTAGTTTATCATATATTGAGTAGATTTCTCTTCTTGATAGTTCTGAATATCAGTTTGAAACCTAATCCTTAATCCTTGTCTGCTGCTATGACCTTGGAGTGACTCAATATGCAGTTCAGTGTTTTATTAACCTGTCAAATGTTACCAATTTTATGAATAGATAACATTGCGAAGAACTTGGGCAAAACTGCCGCTTTGGCACAAAACAAAATTCTTGTTCTCCTTATTTTTCCAAGCAATATTTTTACCAAATCCGGAAGATCTCAACAAGATGGTAGGTTTCCTCGCATAATATTTTATAGTGTTTCCCCTCTCTGCATGTTGGATTTGTGAAGAATATCTTATGTTACTTACATGATATTGAACTTATGCTGTTGAGCAGCTGAAGGAAATGGATGATGTCGACATGCTGACTCTTGTAATTCAGGAAATGAGCAAGCACTTCCCCACTCTTTGGACTACCCTAGTTCATGAGCGAGATCTGTAAGCACCTCTAACTTGCAAGAAAACTCACTGCTTGTGATTAAAATGCTCTTCTGCCCCTAGCTCTCTACCCCCACTCCATCTCCTTTTTGTCTGTACGGTCAAAATTTGTTGCTGCCTGCCTTAGGCTTATGCTATTTTCTTGTTTCTTTAACTGGCGTGGGTCTAAAATCAGGTACTTGTCATTAAGTCCTGGCCAGTGTTACATCAGATTTAGAGAGCTTGTTGCATTTGTCATTCAAAACACAAATTTTCCAAATTTGAATCTGATTAGTTACTCCACGTACTCGGAAGTAAGTTATGTCTCTAGCTATCTGGCTTTCTACATGTAGTTTGACACTGATAGAAGTTGCAATATGTGTTTGGAGGTGGCCTATTTCTGTTTAGTAATCTATGGAACAATGATGATACATTTAATTATAGGCTTTTGGGAAAAGTAGCTTCACATATATTGGTGTTAGTCACTTTGTAAAGGTCGAAGAGAAAAGGAAGTTTTAAATAGGAGTAAGGGATACCCTAATATAAGCTCTGTTAATTTTCTGGTGAGTAGAAGTTTCTCAAGCAGTTCCTGATCTCAATATAGGTATAATCATCAGTTATTGCATATTATATCCTTTGTTCACTTTCAGTTTTCCTAAATAAATGCAAGCATTTAATATTACTCCCTCAGGCTTAAACAGAATTTCTGCTTTTGGTGGCTAGCTAGAGTAGAAATTAGCGTGAGAAGGTACGCTAAGTTAGTCAAATAAATTAACATGCTGGTTTAATTAAAATAGAAACTCCGTCCTATGTTGTTGTTAAGTGTAAAAATGTCTGGTCAATAATTAGCCAAGTGAAAAAAATGACTCCTTGTATCAAAAGTTTCATCACATAATGTTGGATTCAATATTGTCAAAAGCGCGCTTAAGTCCGGGCTCAAAACATATTGAGCGCTTCGCCTTTCTTAGCGGGCGCTTCAGTGCCAGCAATGTTTTAAGACATACTTTTCCTTGCCAATGAGCATAATCTTGAAGAGGCGGCACTAAATAATTGATATTTCACTTTATCGTAATTTTTTTTGAATTTCTTTGTCCATGTATTTCTTATTCATGCTTATAATTGGTCCTGAACCACACATACATATTTGTACCTTTTTTCTCCATTTACGCCTTTCTTCGTTAAAGCTCACGCTTTATTTGTGCTTTGTGCTTAAAGGCCTAACGGACCTTGGAGCTTTTATGCGCTTTTCATTTTTAATAACACTAGTTGGATTATGTGTACCAACTGCGGGAGTTTTTGTAATTGCATTTAAGCTCAGACGCTGTACTGTTCATATGATTCAAACAGTAATTGTCTAGTCAAAATCTAGAGATCTGAGGTAATTTTAGTCTTCCTGGCATTTAAGTAAAATATTTGAAGGATGACATTGAACCTGACACTTTATTTTGTCTTTTGATGATCATTATAAATACTGTTTTACAAATCTGTTTTTCCACAGGTACATGTCATCGACATTACTAAGAGTTGCTGGTGAACACAACTCTGTTGTAGCAGTTGTTGGGAAGGGTCACCTGCCTGGAATCAAGAAGAACTGGAAACAACACATTGAGGTGATAGAAGTTGATAGTGTAGTTAGATTGAACTTATGCTTCCTCCTGTACATTGCAAAGCATCTGGAAGCAAAAACAAATTGGCTTTCCTCGTCGCATATTTAAAGTTCACACGCCGAATTTGAACCTCTTGCCTATTTATTGACATTCTTTATTTATAATTCGCTGCCACAGGTTAAGGAACTACTCACAATTCCTTCACAGAAACCTGCCATCTCTGTCACGAGAATCTTGTCAATATTCGGAGTTGCAGTCGCAGGAGTGGCCATAATATCTGGCATTTATACTTCAACCAAGAAATAACATCATTGGTTTCGGATCTAAGTGTCTCTATTTTCGTGTACTTTAGAGGTCATACAAGTTTCTTACGTTTTTAGGTGCTGAGGTCATAGATTCAATTCTGATATATCCTGCTGCAGGAAATGTAAAATATTGTTTTTGAAAATTTTCCTGGGCAGAGGGTGGTAAGCCACATTTAACTTTGAGAAAGATTATTCAAATTCTTGAACAGCAACAGGAATAATGATGCTAAAATTTGCCATCTCTTTTATCTCTCTCTAGCTTCACTCGATCTATCGTCTCTCTCTTGTAACACACCTAACTTCTTTACGCATTTCCTGCTGTATATATTTTAAGTTCCGCAAAAGGACAAATATACCCCTGTATTTTCGAAAATGGTTTAAGAATACCCCTCTATATTATTGGGTTATCTATACCCTGCAGTCATACTTTGGGTTCAAATATAATCATCATTTTCTAACGGAGTGGCACGTGTCATCATCACGTTGGCCAATTCTAAATATCTCTTAATTAATTAAAAAGACTTACGCATACCCGAAAAATAATTTTCTAAAACAATTTTTTTTTATAAAAACTGGAAAAAACTGATTTTTTTTTTACTAAACACTGAAAAAAATGTTAAAAAAAACAGATTTAAAAAAACTGAAAAATATTTTCTAAAACAATGTTTTTGTAAAAACTGAAAAACAATTTTCTAAAGCAATGTTATTGTAAAAACTGAAAAAAACTAATGTTTTTTAACTAAAAACTGAAAATCGAAAATATGTTTTTCCATTTTAAAAAAAATATTGCTTTAAAAATAACTGAAAAATAATTTCTAAAACAATTTTATTTGTAAAAAAAATGAAAATCAATTTTCTAAAGCAATATTTTTGTAAAAACTGAAAAAAACAAATATTTCCTTTTTTTTTTTTTTTAAGTTTTTGGTTTAAAAAATTTAGTTTTTCCAGATTTTAATTGCTTTAGAAAATTGATTTTCAGTTTTTAGAAAAACATTGTTTTAGAAAATATTTTTCAGTTTTATTTAAAGCAGGCTTTTTTTGTAAAAACTTGAAAAAAAAATATTTTCGTTTTTTCAGTTTCCAGTAAAAAAAATTCAGTTTTTCCAGTTTTTACAAAAAATAATTACTTTAGCAAATTATTTTTCGGGTATGGTAATAGGTCTTTTTAATTAATTATGAGACTTTTAAAATTGGCCAACATAACGATCACACATGTTCCTTCATTTAAATAAGGAGTATATTTGAACCCAAAATATAACTGCATATTATAAATAACCGAATAGTATAACGAAAGATATTTTTATACCATTTTAAAAAGTATATAAGTATATTTGGACCTTTGCCATTTTAAGTTTGATTTTAGTTGTATTCCCATTGTTTAGCCACTGGTTATCAGGCGTTTCCAATCTCATTACGCAGTTTTATCAGTCTTTGAAAGACATGGTGTTATAGGAGTTTCTTTTGATATAGTTAGTCGACTTATTTTGCATGGAGGTTTAGCTGGTTGGGTACTCAAAAGGACTCGTAAAATAAAGATAGTTAAAAGCTTATTATCCAATAGAGATTGTTGAGGTTTTATTTTTAAGATGAAATAGTCTTAAAATGAGGGTGAATGGGAAATGGAAGGAAAATAAAATTTTTGAATAAAATTTTAAGTTTCCCCCTCTTGACAATGAGACATTATCCCATATTGGAAGAGGAAAAGATTTTTGGTGGATATATATATAATTGCTCTTCTTATAGCTCTTAAAGAGTTAAGAAGAAAGCAAGTCTCGCGCCGTCATCGTCGTCGCTCGGCTTCGGTCAAATGATTGATTGATTAATTTTTTGGACCAAATTTATTTGTTGCTCTTCCCACCATGATTGTGAATTCAGTGGGCTCGAATTAATTACTGTTTCATTACGTTAGTTTATATTTTGCAAAATTATTATTTATAAATACAGCAATATTGACAACAGAATTTGCTAGTCATCTAACTTGCTTGCTCGGGAAACTTGAGATCTATAGTTCAAAGCGAGACTATACAATGACTACAGTACCATTATATGACAGAAGCAACCCAAAAAGGTTCGTTTACACAAGAGGATACACCAAGTCACAAAGAACACAACGCGCGATTATACATTTTACGTATTTTTTATAATAATATTGGGAAAAGATTTACAGTTTCAGAACCTACTGTTATTTTAGTATGGATAGACTTAAATTAAATGTGACAAAGAAGCCTTTTACCTTTTTACATATTTATTTTTAAATCATGTATTGGAAATTCATGTTTTACCTTTTTTCTCACAAATTTTTATCAGTTAGATTTTCCTTAAGTTGCGAGATAATTCTTCTATTCTTGCGCAGTTGTTCCACCATATTCTCTAGCAGCTTCAGCATTAATATATACTAGTTTTTATGAGCTTGTTAGAGCTCCCGATTTTTAAATTATAACCTATTTCTTGTTAAATTTAGGAATATTCTTAAATTAAATTTTTGGTAAAAATAGGATTTTGGAAACTGTATAAGTGATTTGCATGTTCGTCAAGTTTTTAGCTTTAAAGTTTTGAAAATTGCTTATCAACAGCAGTCATTTGTACAAATAGCAATCCAATAGTAGGTAGAAGAAATGTAAGTGGCGTTTCCAGGATAGTATGGCACAGGTAAAAGAGTCCATCAATCAGGATATAACCACTCTCATAATATGGCGTCTAAGCCATTATGCCTGAGAGGAATTGTTCATCCCCCAGAATTGGTAATAGACGCATTTTATATTCTTCTAATAATTCCAAAAACAATATGATTTTGGAAATAAAGTTATGCTCAGTGGAAGGAGAAGTCGTTAATTAAATGAGCTCACGGAGAAGGCTTTTAAACCTTCTTCCACTGCCCTATTACACCCCTACGGTGCTTTGTCTCATCACTGCATAATTATTCCCATTCAATCTCTTAATTCAACAAATAATGATTTAATACTTGAAACTCTAAACAGATATTGTTAAATATTTTCAAGGGCTTCAGTGTGTGTAACAATCAGATCATTGATAATTAAATCTCACTGAAATCCGCTAAGATAATTTAATTTATCATCATAAGCCCCTACTCAATTAAAACAATTACCATATCAGAAGATGAATCAACTAATACAGGTTTTAAAACAAAATCTTCGAATCGTTGCAAATTTAACATAAACATAAAAATATATTTCAAAAAATACATTTTTTTGTTAAAAAAAACAAATAAGGATGAAAAAAGAGTGTGCTCAGACAGCCAAGGATTTGTCTTCAACCAAAAGGGATTGAATCCCCAGGATCAGAAACTCTAGTCCACATAATTTGCTTCCTCACCACACACATATTTAAGTAAAAAAATAAATTATAAAAAGAGATGAATAAAGGAAAAACGAAGTTGAAAATACAAAATCACATGACAGAGGAACTGAATCGAGAATTAATCTTAGCTAGAAGGAAGAAGGAGACCAAGCAAACACCAATACCAGAGAAAGGCCAATGAAAGATGTATAGGAGAGGATATGTATATATAGGAGGAATCAGTATTAGACGCAGCTAGGGTTTTGTCTAATTTGGGGCTGGGTGGACTTTCGCTAGGGTTTTGAGGGAATTCAGATGGGCCTGTGGAAATACGAGCTGCGTCTGGAGTTTGGATTGCCATTTAGTTGTTGGGTCAATTGGCTTCGCAGCACTGGGCCAACAAATTGCAGAAATGTGACATCGTCTTTAACTTTTGACTCTCGCTTGCCCATAAGCAGAACTTCAATGTTAAAAGTGAAAAGTACTGCCCATGAAGCAAGGGAGAGACGACGACGACAACAACAACAATAACGACGACCTAGTAAAATTTCACAGGTGGAGTCTGGGAAGGGTAGTGTGTACACATACCTTACCTCTGCCCTGAGGGTGTAGAGACGATGTTTCCGATAAACCCTCGACTCAAGAAAACGAAAAGAGACAATATATCAGTACCATCAACAAAAATCATATAGAAAATAATAACAACATCACAAGAACCAGTAAATAGATGGAAAGCAAAAATAAAAACCAGTAAATAAGGCCCGACACTAAAAAAAACGGAAGAGTAGTATGAACACAACATTGACCACTAGCAGTCCAAGACAAAATCCTATTAGACTAGCCTCACACTGATACGGGTTAGAAATATGCTCAACTACCTTCTAACCTACAACCTTAATGTTCGACCACCACAGCTTCCTATCGATGGCCACGTCCTCGGAGATCTGAAGCCTCGCCATATCCCGCCTGATCACCTCTCCCCAATACTTCTTAAGCCGTCTTCTACCTCTCCTCAGACCCACAAACGCCAACCGCTCGCACCTCCTTAACAGAGTATATGGGCTTCTCCTCTGTACGTGCCCGAACCATCTGAGCTCCGCTTCCCGCATCTTGTCATCCATGGGAGCCACACCCATTTTCTCTCGAATATCTTCATTCCTAATCTTATCCATCCTAGTATGCCCGCACCTCCACCTAAACTTCCTCATTTATGCTACTTTCATCTTTTGGATAAGTGAGTTCTTAACTGGCCAACACTCAACCCCATACAATATAGCCGGTCTAACCATTGCTCTATAAAACTTACCTATAGAGCGGTGGTTAGACCGCTCAAGTGAGAGACAATACTTGTTAAACTTGAAGTTCTACCTATGAGGCAAGCGTGGAGCAAAAATACAAGATCATCCTCTTTGAGGGTTATTTGTATACTTTACCTACACTAGACGGCCTATCATTCAAGTATATTTTGGATTAAAAAAATTGCGGAAATTTGATACTTTTTGGGGTGGTTTTTAAATTTTTACACTCGCTTGGCCCATGAGCAGAACTTCATGATCAAAAGTTAAAAGTGTTGCTCATGGGGCAAGCGAGGGCAACACTTATTAAATTTGAAGTTTTATCCATCGGGCAAGAGGGAACAAAAGTTAAAAGATCATCCACTTTTGAGGGTTATTTGTGTACTTCACCCTATTTTTGACTTACCATTCATATTTTGACCCCGTTAAGAAAAGATTTGATAAAATAGTCCCCATCAGAATTTTAAAGCTCAGTGCTAGGATTTTAAAGCATGCTGCCAGATTTTTCAATTTTAGCAAGATGCTTCAAAATTGAGATTTTTACCTTCTTATACACTATTTGAAACCTTATTACCCTCCCTACTCAAGTTTTAATTTAATTACATGGTCATATACAATTTATCAATTATATACAAATAAGTTTTAAATGAGTATCTCTTT